GTCAGTAAAATCAGAAAGCTAAGTAAAGGAAAGGTATAGAAAACTGTTTTTTCGAGAATTTTACAATAACTTGCTGCAATTAAGATATGATTATGACACCACTTATAGACTCTCCAGACAGAAAGACGGATTTACTAAAGGTTACTAGCATGTGTCATGCTAGAGCCCGTACAGGACGATATTTTAGCACGTTATCTCTTTCACAATGCGATAGCCACCCTCGTATAGAAATAGCTAAATAGCGAAGGTTCTACTCTACGAATCAAAAACATTAATAGAAAGTTTGGACAAACACATTTGTGCCAGGTGCTGTGTATGGAAGGACAACGTTAGCATTGTATCGTTTATTTGTAGCCTACCAAGATTATCGAGGATACAAAGCAGAGGATTCAAAATGGCATCTGAAATCCTGAGCTAAGCTAGCCAATGATCTAGTCTTATAGGACCCTGTGCATGGTAAAGCACAATGACCCAGACTGAGCTATACTTGTCTATGTTACTGAAGGAATTGGGGACAAATTCTATAAAAGAGGAACTGAGCCCTGATGCAGAACGGGGATCTATGAACTTATGAAGAGGGAAATCTGGCGTAGATCGGACTCAGTAGTAGTAATAGACTATAAGACTATGTCTAAGTATCGCAAATAAACCTGACTCTTTCCGGAATAACATAATAATTCTGCATAACTCAGTAGAGAGGAAATATTCAGTAACTTCAAAGAGAAAATTAATTTTCCACGATAAATTATATCTTATTAGACCATTATTATAGTTGAGTAGAGGCATCATATAAGTGTAGTGGGTGCGGAATCGCACTATTGACCTAATATCGCATTTTTTGCACCATCTATCGTTAATCGTTATTAGTTCTATCAGATATGTGAACTTCAAGTACTTATAGGCTGCAAAAAGATGAATTGAAGTTCAATAAAAAACAGGGAATGTTTCATTTCCAAGGCTCTCCAGGGCAAATTTACAGCGACAAAACTTAAATGTTTGTCTATTTGAAGGGTTATTAATGCTTTAATGTTGAACTGCAATTTCGGGTGACCGGGTACAGGTAATGAGTCTCACAGGGCTAGTAACTTAGAGTTGGAAACGATTGTTGCCACGATCGAAGTAGCTATATTTGAAACTTAAGCTGTGCTGAAAGCTAATATCTCTATTCTCTGTTCGTGGTGTCGGTAAATAGAAGGAGTTGTTAATTACACTAACGATTGAAGACGAAGACAGCGTAATCATTGTCAAATTTGAAATCTTTATTATTTCACAATGTCAATCATAAATACAAATATACTGAACTAGTTTAGAAATTATCCTTGGTAGCAAAAGATCAGGTATGAAATTTTTCGAAAGGAAGCTAGATCAAGTTATTTGGACTAAAAATGTGGCAAATGGTTTGATTTGAAACTTTTACAAAATAGCAAATTCTGTATTGCAGCTTGAGCAGATTTAATATATGTAATTATAAACATATTTAATACTTTATGTTCATGTACGATTTATGCCAACCACAAATCCAATCATGTTGGACTGTTAGATTTTTCAGCTTAACAAGCTCTTCTTAAAACATTTTCTGTAAAGCTACAGTTTATTGATGTTCAACGGACATCAATAAACTGTAGGAACATAAATTCATCAAGCGTAACTTCTTAAACATGTTATAAAGAAACAACATACTCAAACAGTATGCTGCACCCATAGGAGCGGCCTATATCAATTTACAGTTTACACTGGTATTACTTCAGAATTCTTCTCGAGAGTCCCCGGCAATTGAAACTGATTTGAATTGATGCATGTTTGAACACTGATTCCAGATCACCCCACACACCCCACATCAGATAGGGATAAGCTCCCCTGCGATTTATTCGACGAGTAAACGGCGAACAACTGTATTGCATGACATGGCTATTTAAGGAAATATGTCGAATTTCTCGTTAGGGTTTTAGTAAATGCTTCAGTTAGGCACGGTTACTTAGTTAGGGATTCGGTCAAAGTAGAGGGTTATGACATGTCCGTCAGAGCCATCTAAAGAATACTTTAAACTTAGTCATGGACACTTAGTCATGGACACTTAGTCACGGACACTTAGTCACGGACACTTAGTCACGGACACTTAATCACGGACACTTAGTCACGGACACTTAGTCACGGACACTTAGTCACGGACACTTAGTCACGGACACTTAGTCACGGACACTTAGTCACGGACACTTTGTCACGGACACTTTGTCACGGACACTTTGTCACGGACACTTTGTCACGGACACTTTGTCACGGATGCACTTTGTCACGAACACTTAGTCACGGACACTTTGTCACGGACACTTAGTCACGGACTCACGTAATAGTCATGCGTAGAGTGATTTATCTGTATCGTCATACGTTAATATGTGTCTCAGACAATTCTACGGATCGGCAGGATTCTAGGATTCTTAAACAGTCACGTCCTGTTCGTGAATGTAACGCGGTAAGACAATTTAATTGATTGATCCCTGTTCTGTTGTAAAAAATAAGTGTATGGGGCTACACCAATTAGTCAAAGGATAAGGTATAATTAAATAGTTATCTGTGTGTGAAAAAAAGGTATTTCTTATTTCGACTGCAGAAATTAAGTTTATATCAAGAAAGCTGGGTACGACTACAAACACTGGAAAGGAAATGTCTGATGATCTGCAGAAAACTATACGAATTAAGATGTTATCACATAGCACAATCGATGTATTATATATGAACACTATACAGAAAATTAAATTAAATAAATACCACAGATTTATGAAAATAACATCCATACTTGCCACAGACATATCCATTACGATTTACGGGTTTATGTGGATTTTTTTTAAATTTCAAATTAGCGAGTTTAGATTAGAAATACCACACCGAAATCAGTATACTGTATAAGTATTCGTGCAAAGTGCTTAGTTGTAAAATAAGTACTATACCTCTTAAACGTTTTAACTCGTTTTTGACTAATCGTGATTGCTCGAACTGCCAAATAAAATGGTATTTGGGACTTGGACAATTCACATCCTACTTATAATTATATTGAAGACATATGGTACCTAATGACCAGTGACCATAGCCTTAATTTAATAACGGTCCCCATAAACTCAATAAACATTGACAACAACAACAAAAAACCAACAAGCTTTTAAAAATTAAGGAATTTTGTCGCGACCACAACTAAACATAAGTCGATGAAAACTTTATAAAAAGCCTTGTAGATTTCGTAGAGCGTCATGAGATTTGGTAGGTGGCGTCTTGAGATTTGGTAGGTGGCGTAATATGGTACCAACTGGCAGTGGAGGGAGTAGAAACGTTGCTATCAACTATCTTAACTCTAAATCTAACACTCAGCAGTACCTAGCTCCGGGGGATTTATTATAGTCATGCATCTGGCCTTCCGAGCGAGTGTATATGATTAGGTTTTTAAGTGCGAAGCAAGCAATCAGGTGCATTCAGCAAAACTTGATATGCATTTGGATGTACTAAAGTTATTTATAAAGAAAAAATGATACCGTAAATAATCATTATTCGAACCACAACAAAATATCGGCGTCCAAAGGAGGGGAGTAAGAGAAAGCCTTAAAGATCGAATAAATATGTTTGTTGTTGCAGGGAAATCACAAAAGTATTTATCCATTTCGAAGAATGTACACGTATATACCATATAATATATCTGAGTTAGGTACATGATACCCTTCATGATAATTGTGGATGTGTAATTTATGTAGTTATTCGGCCGATCCTGGACCCTCTTTATAAGCGATTTTCGTCAAACAAACCAAGTCGAATAAAAACAACAACATACATGCAGCTCTAATATAATATAATCAATTAATCGGTACTGTAATTAAAAGGGTTCCACTATATCCCAAGAGCGAAGAGGTAAAGTAATGCATTACTTACCCCACTGTGTATTGGAGCTGCAATCAGTGTGGTGAGTGTTGACAACATGCTAATTTAAATTACTTATTCAGTATGCATGTCTAGTGTTTACCCTGTGGACGCTATTGGCTATACTGCAGAGATTACTAATAAATTCTTCTTGAACAATTAGGGCAATGTCTGCTCGGGTAGTTGAAATGGTGTTTAAAATCGGAGAAAGCCTGAGACTTCTTAATTGGGCACCCAGAGGTACCAGAAATATAAGTCCAGAATCAGAATATAAATAATAGAATATAAATGATAGTACCATGTACGTTTAGTTGAAATGTTTTAAATCGGGTTGGTCGGTGAAAGCTTGAGAAATATTAATTGGGCACCCAGAGGTACCAGGAATATAAGTCACTGAATATTTGTTTAATCTAGATTACCAGCAGCAAACTTGCCACATAAGTCCAGAATCATAATATAAATAATAGAATATAAATAATAGTACGTTTAGTTGAAATATTTAAAATCGGGTTGGTCGGTGAAAGCTTGAGAAATATTAATTGGGCACCCAGAGGTACCAGAATATAAGTCACTGTCAGTCTTAAGGGAATATTTGTTTAATCTAGCTATTACTATGAGCAAACTTGCCACATAAGTCCAGAATCAGAATATATAGTACCATGTACGTTAAGGCAAGGTGCTAGGATATGGGACACTCTCAAGCACCGCCCCTATCACGATTAAGCTAGAGGATTCAACAGGGAGTATTACGCTGCTGGTAGTTTTTACTTTTATACTTTTTTACGTTTTTCTTTTTACTTTATCGATGCAGTAAAATCAAATACCACGATTTAAGTGAACTCCTATTTTATCAGGCCTAAATTCTCTCCACTTGATATACGAGCTTGATGATATAATTGCAAGATTCCCAACTCCCTGTTTTAAATGTATTTGCTTCTGAGGAGTCGGGCTTCAACTGATATCTACTTTTTAAAAGCACAGAGTCAAACTGACTATAAGGACTACTATAACATTTTAATTATTTTTATAACATTTTAATTATTATATTTATAATATTCATATTGATAACACTACATTACACTAAATCAGACTAATTTTACTAACGGATTGATGTAAGACTAACACATCGCTATAACAGCATCATCGTAATCATTACTAGAACACCGGGTGTTGCCAACTTTTCATGATAAATGTGTGCCTAATGAAGAAAATAATCACAGGCTCACTATTATAAATTATACACGGCTCACTTTGAGTGTTAAATGGGTTTGTGGAAACACATCAAATATTTTTTAACAATAAACCGTCAACAATGATAACTGTAAGGAAGACTTTGAGTTTGTCGATGACATTAATTCCCATTCTGAAGGACAACTTCAGGGACTCCAATCGAATACTTTTTGTTGAATAAGTTTAGAATATTATTTCTTAAATAAGATGGCTACGTATCTGGAAGGCAGGTGCTAACAACATGCACCAGTGGACAGTTTGGCAGTTTGTTAGTGGTCAAGGCTCCTACTTCCTAGTAGGCTTCTATTCTGAACTGTTCTATTTTCATGGTGGAGAGGGAATATCGTCATGGTTTTTTTAAAGGGCGAATGTTAAAAAAGTTTCGAGATAATCGCCCTTAAAGCAGCCCATATAAATATTAAAGTTAAACAGTTAAAATGCCATGTATTCACTGAGCTAACGATATTCTAAGATTTTTACATCGAACACAAAAAAAATGCTGCTTTACACCCTTTGAATAACAAGTCCAATAATTTGAATTAAAAGCTCAAATCAAAATGCAGGTGCGCTACTTACACCAAAAACTTAACGTATAAAAAGTTAACGAATAAAATTAAATAAAAACCAGCTTGAATTGAAAAAGAAAACTGTTCTGCATATTTCAATCATCGATACAAATCTTATTAGAAATTATTCCCGGTCTCCCAAACACAATTAGCTGTCCAAAATGGCGACAGCCGAAAAGTTAATATTTCTTAGTCTCACCGACACGAAACGCACTAAAAGGTTTAATATAAAAATACTGCAACCTTACAAGTCATTAAATTCATTAAATTCACCATAAAACAATCCAATTAATTTGTCTGTAGAATTGTGTAGTTTCGTATTTTAGTCACGTGGTAAACTGCACTCCTCAACCAATGAGAAATAAGATTTTGGCATGTGACCAGATGCTTTAAGGGCGATCTTTTGTCACCTATTATGCAAATACGTGACAGGTTGCACTATAATAGGTTTGCAACGTTAACTAGCGTTCCTTTTTAAACATGATACGAAGTCTTCGTATGTGATGAAAATCAAATTCTTTGATTTATTAAATTCTTTGCCAAAATATAAGTTCTCTGTAACTAAACCTGTTCGTGATGTAAAACACAGAGGCATTCACATATGGGGGAAATAATATTCCTTAATTTATAAGTTCCAGTAACATAATATAATATGTTTCTCATAAAAGTGGTCCGTTTTTAATATTTATATTTATATCAAAAACGGACTTCGGTTATAACGAAAGTTCGTGGTTGGTTGAATGAGCAGTTACGTAAATTGAGCACTCGAACAGTCGGAACCGTTTCTGGCGTAGAAAGCTCTCTGAACATACTCTCGGTGTATGCTGTTGATGTTTCTCCAGCTGTTGATTCTACTCCACCTGGGTGATGTTTTATGTTAGAGAGGAAGTTCATGGAGTTTTATTCCAAAACTCCATGTTTTGGAATAAAACCGCTTGTTTTGCCAGCTTTATGTTTTAAAGCCCTACCGATCACCAAGCAGGATGAAATTGGAAAATATTAGCACTGGAGAAGCTGACATATTCAAAATGTTCATAGCATCAAAGTTTCCTCCGGATATACTGCTTCCAATACCTTGATGGCGACTTCACTGATTCAGATTGGTCACTAGTCAAAATTTCAGTCAAAACCGCGAAATTTCGGTCAAGGGAACGGCAGGAAAGCTCCTTCAAACATTTTTTCAAAATCTCTTTTTATATTCTGATGATTTTCCGTTTATCAAAGCTTTCTTTGGGAATAGAACTTTGAATACCTCAATCGTGTCTTGTGCCATTACTGAGAAGTAAATAAAACATCTATGGACCTTCATGTTGAATCCGGATATATATTATCGAGTCTACGAGTTCAACCGCAATCCGCATTAATAACAAAATTCCGCTATAGTTCGTTAAAGATGCAGTAGCTGTATAATGTATATAAGATATCCTTTAAAATATGATGTAAGCCGTGGAATATCCGACAGAATGTTTTGTTACCAGAGGACATATGAGGTTCGATCAGATCGTCGTTAACAGCAGAAATCGTACTAAATTTCTGAAGAAGAAATATTTTCAATAGTTACTCTACCTGTACTGAGACTCCTCAGGGAAGTCAATGTAACGGAAGGCGTTGTCGTTTCCGTCATGATAGCTGACGAAGATACCTTCCGACCAACTATTATCTGTGTTATATTCATTGTCTATGAATCCTTTGTGGATTAAGATCCCAACTTTTAAGATTTTGTTTATTCGCTTCAGAAGTTTGTCGTGGTTGATTTTACCGGAGAGGTGGTTTTCAGATGTCAGTAATTCACGGACCTGATATTAAATAAACGGTTCTTATTAATTATAATATAAAATAATCAGTGTTTAATATATTGAGTTAAATCTGGGCTTCAAAATACAACAACCTTGAACCTCGAGGAGTCGATCGCAATTTTTTCAATTAAAACAAACTTAGAACATTACATATCAAGAAGGTAGATACTAATCTAAACGCCACCTCTTTTGGGAGCAGATCATCATAAACGCCCTTAATCTCTGGAAGGAACCATGATTCACCCCGACTGAAATCTAGTAAAACTTCAAGGACTGGCTTCTCAGTCACCACCAGATCACCTCCGTCATCTTCCTTGGTGTAGCGGGTAATAATCGGCAATACAGCGTGGTTAGGTCCAAACTTTTCAAACTGCCCACGACCACTCAAACCTGGCACAAACTGTATTCTCATTCGGAAAATAATTATTCTTTATTTTCATGCAGAAAATAACTCAAATTGGTCTACAATTTCCCAAAAATCCTGAAAGTATGTTAAAAACCCCTTAGCCCCTAAGACTCTAAGAAAGTCGTTAAAGCAAAGTCATCTACCAGTTCGTCCGCAAGGAATGAGAGGTAGCTGGTTCCTGATCTCGTAACGTCCCTCATAACTCCTCCTCTCATCCCCCTCCACGTTTCTGTGCCACTTGATGTCCGACAGCTTCCGTTCACTGGGCACACTGGGATCAGTGTGCTCTAACGGCTCGTAACTCAGGAGAAGTTTCCTCCAGTCCCAGTGCTCTTCCCTTACCATTGATCTTCTGACATTCTGAGGGTGGAAATTGATTATACTCTGCTAAGATAAAGAGTTAAAGTTTTTAAACCTCTAATTATTTAAAAAATATTTAAAATATATTTTGTCTTAACAAACGGGATCAATACAAATTTTGCCCAAGAAACAGAACAAAGAGTTAAGACTGACAGATACCATTTCGAGGTGTTGATCAAACTAAATACATAGTCACCTTTTCACCAGGGTATTTCAATTTTCGAGATTTTTTGCCCATCTTTGTCAATCTGCAGACATGATGCTGAGCAGACTTGCAACTTATATTAGAGCTCCTTCTTTTGTCTGCTGATTCAGTGAAGTCGGTGGGGACGTCTTCCGTGATAACACTCATATTCTGATCAGTAGATTCACTGTCCAAACCATAGCCACTGTAAGTTGGGAGCTCGGAAACGCTCGTGGTGTCTTGGAGTTGGAAAACTGAATCAGGGTATTCATACTGGGGCTGGGCGATATCGATGACTTTTTGCATCTTGGTCTCGAAATCTTCAAGACGCCTATCAATATGTTCCACATCACCCGATAGTTTCGATATTTCAGTCTTCAACCGTTCATGCTTTGATGGGTCCTGGCGGGATAGGAATTAAGTTCAGCTTGATTTTTACTGATATGAAGGACTTATTTTTATTTATTGGTGAATAATGACCAAAACGAATATCGCTTTCATAATTCAGATAACGAAACTGATAAAATTAGACTAAACAGCATTTACAATTAACATCATCTCTTGTATTTAAAACTCTCGTGTATTGACAGACATTTATTACAAATAAATAGAAATGCATGTCATAACGTTGGTATGTCACCGAAAACTTCTATTGAGTGACTCACCTTCATTTTTTCGAGGTAGTTCCGACGGCACTCAATTTCAAGGAGTGTGATTGTCAGCCGTTGATGAACATCGTTTGCTGGGATCTTCTCAGTAGCGTTTGATCGACAACAGCTGTTAAATCTACCAAACGTGAAGCGGCAAACTAGCTTTACAAACCTGAGGGCAATCACCTTGTTTAATTCCTTCTTTTATATTACAGGCAAAATCAAGTTTCATGGTTAATTCTAGGCCAGGACCTCCGTCCAATCTGTAACTGGTCAAAACGACCAAAGTAAAATCTAAGCCGTTCGGACCTGGTTTACCAGTTTAATGTGATCCAATTTCACATGGAAGGAACGGGCAGAGGTGACCTGCTCCGGTACTCGATCATAAGGTTGTTGTCTTAATGTTGCCTTAATGTTGTCTTAATGTTGTCTTATCGTTTGTTGTCTTATTGGTGTTTGTTGCGTTAATGTTGTCTTAATGTTGTCTTGTTGTTGCATCGGTGTTCGTTCTAGTGGCCCTGAGATCAAAACGACAAACCTCCAGCAGTGAAGTATCGTACTGAGAGGAACAGGCAGAGGTGACCTGCTCCGGTACTCGATCATAAGGTCAAACTTCTGACGCTTCCAGTGAGACTTGTAGTCCTCTTGTATGTTCTCGTAGGTGCTAGTGAAAACTGATAACGTGGAGCGAGTATTAGGTTCGTTATCGAATATCAAACAGCTACTCTTGATTGATATCACATTATTGAACCTGCTTGGCAAGGATACATGAAATTAGGAGATACAAATTACGACTTATTCGATGTTTACGAAAATAAGAACTGTCAACTGACCAGCGACCATCAGGTTGAGCATGAGAACTGCAGCCAACATCATGTAGGCAGCGAGGAGGGTTTTAACGATGTAAACGTTGTACATACAAATTTTGTTGTCTTTCTTAAAGCAGTCGTAAGGGCCATTTTCACAATAGGTTTCATTGAACTGCAATGTACAATAGGCTTTGTTCATGACTTTGATCAATGTCGTATCACCTATCTCTCCAAACATGTTTTGATAGGGCCTCCAAAAGATGTCAAACACCTGAAACGATTTTGTATTAGTAATTAGTAAGACATGCAAGTGATAGTTCTCGTTAAGTCTTTTTTAAATGATGACCTGGGAAATTAAAAGCCATTTTCAAGTCTTTTTCACGGCCGTAGCTTTCTATATCACATAAGGGGACTCCAGCTAACTCGATCCTAACTTATTGAACCCGACCTTGGAATGGGGGGGTCTAAGTTTCAACCTTAGAAGATCCAGCATACGCAACTTTAGGGGATCTGCAGCACTAGGGATACCCAATCCTAATGATCATGAATTCTCAAATCAAACTTAGGAAAATCTAGCAAGCTAAAGATTGTATTTGTAATGATATCGCTAATGCCATAAAATAAAATATTTTTACATTTAATAATAATAAAATAAAAGTTAATAATAAAACAAAATTTGTAAAATATTTTTACATTAACTTTGACTCACGATGTCGGATGTAAAACTCTTGAACTTATGAGGGTATATGATGGATGTAGTACTAACACCATAACCTATCACGAATATGGTTATAAGGAAAATGAAGAATTTAAGATCTTTCAACATCTTCGTTATCATCATCACCTGTAATAAATCAAGTTACTATTTAGCGTGATCTCTATGACACGTGCAATGAAAAACTATGCATATTATCGTAGTGAACATTTGTGATCGAGCATGGAAATAAATATCATTAGTAATTAAATAATTTGTACAATTATATTTTTAAATGAATAATCTATCTAACCTTGGGGCCGATCTGTTCGCTCTTTTCTAAAGCCTGACACAGTTTCAGACAAAAGAGAATAAACGCAAATGCAAACAAAAGTCTAAACATATTCTCTCCGACCGTCATATCAGTATTGTCCTCATCGTCCCCTTTTCTAGCCATCAATTTGAAAGCGAGCGCCAGCATGATAGTCCCTATACAGAGAGCATCACAGATGTTGTAGAAACTAGAAAAATACATCTTTAACTTCCCGATAAAGGTAGTAGGATAGGAGAAGTGTATCTGTCGTATCTCCAGAGGAATCAAACAAAACACCCACGTGTACGTGATCTGCTCGGAGAAGGTCAGCTTACACCCGAACATCTGACGAAAATGGTTTTTCTTAGAGCATGACTTGTTTTGATCCGTCAAAAGTAGAGCGCAAACATAGGAAAACAGGAAGCCGGCGTAGGTGATGGTATAAATCCAGAACTTCACGACAGGTGCCTTGTAGAAGTACCTACACTTGGTCAGTCGGTCCAGCTTCTCGTTTTTCTCCGTTGTAGGGTCAGGATTGTGACTATGATCCCCTCGCTCTATAAAATTCTGAAGTCTGTTTCTACTTTTCTGCCCGTCATTCCTGATATTTTTCGTTTTCCACTTGTCAAACGGGGTAACATTTCGGAAGGAAGCGAGAAGAGGGCAGGGCAGTGATATTATGGTTCTGAATGTAGATATGTCACTGTCCAACCAACCATTCCACTCCAAGTCTATGTAGTCTTGTATGGTTGGGTGAGCTATGATCTCGATGGCGTTTACGTAATGTGCCATCTCCAGAATGGTCTTACCACCCCATTTCTCAAACTTAAAGTTAACCAGAGCAATAACATGTTCGGTTTTGTAGCGTGCGACCTCTTCTAAAACTTTGTTGGATATATCGACGAAGTCAACTGCATACTTTTGTAAACGGTCACTTAAATAGTCGGTAATGAATAACGAGTCGCTCTTTTGCCCGCACATCCACCTGAGAATAACTATTTAATGTACCTATTTAATTTAGTTACTTTTATTAGTTTGATAACTTTGGCTACATTATATACAGTCATTGATTTAATTCCGATGATTATAATAATAGCCATAAAGTTTAGGCTCAGGACAGAGCAAACTGTTTTGATGGAGGAAAATAAATTGTATTGATGTCGAATAAACATAAATAAACGGCCAAAGTAAACTCAACTAAAAGCTGTGGAAGTAAATCACAATAAATTAATAAACAAAATACTACGGACTATTGTCGTAGGATTGCTTGCGGAGATGTGATTATTGTGATGTATAGCTACTCAGTTAGCCTGTCGTCAATGAATGCGCGGCGCGCGTTTATTTTAATGTATACTACGGACTATGGTCCGTGCAAAAATAACTACCTGTGTATGCACGTACAGACGAGACAAAGGAAGAGACTGGTCTGTGAACACTCCCAAAACACCATGGCCATGTCCTGCTTGTGAATCATCACCATGTAAACAGTCAGCAGACTAGCCGGATCCTCAAAATCATAGTCTCGGATGCCTCTAAAAGTAATGTCCTCGTTACCTCCTGTTTCCTCTGTCGTGCCCTCTTCTAGTTGTATTGCTCCCGCTTCATTGGCGTGCTGTTCAAGGAGCTTGTACGAGCATTGACACCCTTTCGTGCAGGTTGTGACGCATCGTTTGATTGCTTTTAGTAGCATGCTGTTTACTGAGGGGTCGATCAGGGAATCAGGGAGGTTTTCTGATGGCTTTGTTTTTCCGGGCACTTTGAAGACTCCCTCACTTATGTCGTGAATCACCTTGAAAATCGTGTATGGTTATATTATCAAATAGTACGTTTCGCCTTTCAAATGCAATATCCGTTTGTTACAAAAATGATATATTTCATCCCCTAATAATACGTTTATTAGTTAGTTTATTAGTTTATTAGTTTATTAGTTTATTTGTTTATTTGTTTATTTGTTTGTTTGTTTATTTGTTTATTTGTTTATTTGTTTATTTGTTTATTTGTTTATTTGTTTATTTGTTTATTTGTTTATTTGTTTATTTGTTTATTTGTTTATTTGTTTATTTGTTTATTTGTTTATTTGTTTATTTGTTTATTTGTTTATTTTTTTATTTGTTTATTTGTTTATTTGTTTATTTGTTAGTTTATTAGTTTATTTGTTTATTTGTTTATTTGTTTATTAGTTTATTTGTTTATTTGTTTATTTGTTTATTTGTTTATTAGTTAGTTTATTAGTTTATTAGTTTATTAGTTTATTAGTTTAGTAGTTTATTAGTTTATTAGTTTATTAGTTTATTAGTTTATTAGTTTATTAGTTTATTAGTTTATTAGTTTATTAGTTTATTAGTTTATTAGTTTATTAGTTTATTAGTTCATTAGTTCATTAGTTCATTAGTTCATTAGTTCATTAGTTCATTAGTTTATTAGTTTATTAGTTTATTAGTTTATTAGTTTATTAGTTTATTAGTTTATTAGTTTATTAGTTTATTAGTTTATAAACTAATAAATTAGTTTATTAGTTAGTTTCTAAAACGAATAAAATCAAAACTTCAACCTACTTACCATCTCAAAGTGCTCAAATTTCCAGTGAGCAGGATTAGCACACTTCTTCTGAAGGAGAGAGTACAACAAAGTATTTTCAGGAGTGTTGGTCCGCAGGATCGCCTCGAACCGCTCCACAGTCAGGAACGTTTTTATGTTCGCTTCTCGATCTTTCATGATAAATCGTATAAGCTGGTTTGTTGGTGCTGGATAGCCAGCCCTAACATGTCGTTTAGTTCACCTTCCTGAAAAGCATAATCCGTGTGATAAAAGTATTTTGATATTGCATTGCCGCAATTAGTGATTGGTCGAGTCGGGGGTAGGAGACGGCTGAATCGACCAAAAAAATCGAAACTTGAATATGGGAAGCCCTTTGAGGTCTGAAAATGTATAGTAAATTAATTAATCAGCCAATAAATATTTAGCACTGACAGTGAAAATGAGATCCTCTTTTGAGTTGTCCGATTTGCTCTCAAAAATGAAATCCTTAGCAATGTCCAAACGATTCCACTGTATGGCTAATTCTAACTGCCTCTTCATTAGGGATTTTGCTCGCTCTCTTTGCTTTTCTCTCTTTTGATCGAGTGTTGCGTCTGCAAAAATAATTCAAAGTTCTACATTTATTGTTTGCAGTCTAGCAACTAGCATTTTACATATTGTAATGACTATTCGAAATGAAACTAGTACTAATAGATATTAAAATGATTTCATGATACCATCCGATATATTTCGTCGGATTATTGAACCGTCATGATGACAATTAAAAATTCTTTATCTGCTCTCAAAACTGTCGGCCCTAAGATCACCATTGTCCTTATAGGTGATAATATTGTTAACGGCCAGTAATATTTTAACATAAAAACATCACCGAGATGATATTGTATTTTGTACGTATTTACTCGTTTAATTAGCTTACGTCTGCCTGTTGGAGTGGACTGATTGTCCTCTACGTCGGGAATAGGTTTGCAATACTTTTCATGAGACCTTCAAGGATAGCAGTATCAAGGTCGACACCTTTCCCATAGCGCCACACCGTCACCTATTGGAGAGTTGGAAATAGAACAAGGAGATGTATTCAGATTTTTTTCTCCCCCATGCGATTATTTGTAAAACATTTAGCAGAGGGGGGGGGGGGGACGGCAGGTAGGTGTGTTTCGCCACTGTGCTCACCAGTTTCTCCTGAGAAATGATTTCCTCAACAATCTCCATCAGCTCATCATATTTGCTTTCCTCGAAGTCGGGCAATGCTTCGATAAGGGCCTGTCTCACTTTTAATCTGTCGTCATTCTTCAGTGGACTTAGCGATCTGCAAACACATCGTTTCAATGGTTTATTTTTTAAAGTGAGTCAATCGAAATTGCATATAACACGGATGTATAATTCTCAAATTTAACAAGATCTTTTACATCGAATTGTTTTCATGACATTTGAAAAAAGCCGTGCTCTATAAGGAACCTACCCGTCCAGCAACTTGGCATGTTTAATCAAGTCTACAGCCAGAGAGATCACGTTAGATATTCTACCCGAGTCCCCTAGCACCACTACGGGGAGCCCCCTCATTATCCTCACGTGAGCCTCTTCCAAAGATCCACATCCTCCCTCTATTAGAACGGAGACGAGTTGAGCTTCAGTTATTTCTCGTAGGTGCTCCTGGAGTTTTATCCGGAACTTCCGTACCTGCAGAAAGGAGTTGAGAAGATAGTGATGGTATTTAAAAACGATCAATCGCTCCTTATTTGTACAAAGTAAGCAATTATTTTTTGATCGCTGGAGGGGTTTCGAGTGTTGATATATCTAATCATTTCGTTATTAACTTTTAATGTTACGATAATTCTTGATAAAAGCCCACCTCATCCTCATGGAAATTGTTCTTAGTCCCAAAATCGAGAAGAATAAAATGAGTGTGTTCGTGTTCCAGCACCATCGACTTTGGCTTATTCGTCACATTATCCCTTTCTAACTCAGACTGAGACACTGCTTGGTAGAATGCTGGAAACCGTCCCTGATGATTAAAAAAGTTGTGATAAGTTATAATTCATCGGCGATCTTACTCTAATTTAACTGATGTTGCTCTGATCTCGGATTAGAATAACGCCTTATTTTGTGATAACTTTGCTGTTACCCTAGTTACCCTAGTTACCTTAGTTACCCCAGTTACCCTAGTTACCCTAGTTACTCTAGTTACCCTAGTTACCCTAGTTACCCTAGTTACCCCAGTTACCCCTGTTACCCCTGTTACCCTAGTTACCCTACAGTACCTGCTCGTCACCCTCTTCTAGTTCGTGGTTGTTGTAAACAGCACCCCACGAGTTGACTCCGATAACAGGAATAGAGTTTACAAAGGATCTCTTCATTGCTACAGCGTCCCCCACCAAGTTACTTACTCCCTGGAGGAAATAAAAAACAGAAATTAATTTAGAATTTAAATAGATAATCTAAAATGTTATCTGTTGTAATGGAATCTTTTTTAAATGAATTAAAAGAGTATTAGGTTATTATCCCCTCCATTTTGTAACCAGAGCGTCCCAAATTTTCATGCTCTCTTCAAGATTTGATGCGTGAAAGACTGTTACACTTCAAGCATTCGCATAATTGCATAACACTAAGCTGTATAATTTGATCACTTTAATGAACGTATGAACAATGTATTATAGATTTCTTGGTAGCAGACAGAAATTAGATTTAACGAAAAAAAATACTTTATTTTTATGAGCTGAAGATATAATCGGTTGTTTAATGTTAATCATTTGAAATCAATTTAACTTTACCATATCGTATTGTGTTCCATCGTTACACCGTCGAGTGGTTTTCTAGTATCGATAATAATATTATATATATGTCTATGAGAAATTTAAAGTCGAGAATAAAATATAGTATCGTATATGTTTATACTTTTTCAGAGTCATGCGAGTTAAATGCTAAAGACATATTACTAAAACTTACATGGTCTACACCACTGGTGAACACCCAAGCTTTTGAGTCTTTTGCTGCTTTCACAAGGCCCTCCTTGACTTCAGATTCCGCGCCTAGATATTTTGATAAAAGTCGGAGAAATTTGGGGGGGGGGCGGTTATATCTGTTATTAGAGAGAGATTTAAATTCACAGGATAAATTGATGTGCAATAAACAGGAATTAGTCAAGAACTCAAACCACTGATAATTTATTGTAACTAATTAAACTGAAGTGTATCCCAATGACTTACCCATCTTCTTAGAGTCGAACTTGGAGTGTCCACCAAAAACAGATATGAGAAGGTTAGGGCGAGGAATACCCCACATTTTTAGTAGCAGGTTACCGAGATCTTCAACTTTAACATCCATATCGCATCTGAGGTACTGAAAAGTAAATTAAGAAATAAATATACTTGTTGGAATTGATTTACTTGTTGGTTGAAATTTCCGTACCCATTTAAACAATCTAGCAACTTCAACGCGATAATAGGAGCGAAATGTTTTCTAAAACCTGATAAAATAAGATTTGGAGCTTACCAGGGGCAAAACATCATTTTCAGCGTTAAGGAAGTCGATCTCTCCGTACGCATTGGTCGGGAATGTTTTGGTGTCGCTGGTGGGGTTCCATTCTGCTGTATGTGAAAAGGACTGCTTACAATGAACAGGACTGTGTTTGTTATCATGGTGACCACACTTGCACCTGCGAGACGCACAATCACGTTATGACCATATAAGGTGTGGGAATATACCACGTGATGCCCATATATTAATAAGGTGTGGGAATATACCACGTGATGCCCATATTGATATAAGGTGTGGGAATATACCACGTTATACCCATATAAGGTGTGGGAATGTAGAATGAGGTTACTATATACTAAGTTTAGGACACTGATCTCTTCTCATTTGTATCAGACTCTAAATTGAAACAGTCCGAAAGTTTTCAAGTTAAATATTATTATATTGTCCTGATCAATGCGAGGTATGTCAAACAAAAACAGTAAAAATAAGATAAAGTTACGATGAGGATATGAATACAAACCATTTCGTATCCTGTGGGGAAGCAGATCTGGTAACAAACTTGCAACATTCCCTCCGGTTGAAAGTTTTTGTGATCACATTCTCCTTCACCTGAAAACATAAAATATGAGAGGAATTACAGCTGCGGGTATGTTTTTAGGTTCATCCGCTATATAACAGAGAAAATACACAATTTTACAAGACATCAGGTATTTAAAATATTGGGATATATGTAGTTGATAGGCAGAGGAGCAAGTTTGTTGAAGAAGACTTATTTATGAAGGAGTATTCGTTGCTATACTGGGACGGATGGTTTTTTATTTGCATTTTGTATGAAGCCACCAGGTGAAGTAGAAACAACTCAAATCTATATGAAAAACATATTATATGCACATTGCACAGCTGCGGAAAATATATCGTATTAAGAACAAAATTATTTAAACTGCACAAAAAATGGATGCACCTCGGGACCCGTGGATGTATGACCGAGAAATCTGCTGAAGAAAGCCCCTGTAGGCCTAACTGTTCCTGCTTGAACATTTGGGATCGATTCCTCGAATTCATCCGGACAGTCCTCTTCAATCATCACGATAAAGCAAAACTAAAACTAAAACTTGCTATTTCGCTGACTAAGCAGTAATCCGTTGCAATAGTCGCGATAGTTGCACCTTGTTGCACCGGTGCAAATAAAAGTGCAGAACCTACAACATTAATAGTGGTACGAGCAGCAACTAAACGAACCTTATGAAACTTTCGAGTCTGACAATAAGAAGGGCAGTAAGTAAGGAATGTGTTCGATTTTAACATGTTTCAACATGTACTGTGTACTTTTATAGTCCTTCTCTACGTGTAGAGAAGCTGTAAAGGTCGCTCCCATAAAAATTACAGAAGCTATCAATATTCCATTTGGATTCCTACATTGAATTAGAAATATTAGTTATTCATTGAAAAGTGTTATTGCCAGGGTTACCAGTGTTACTAATATGGTTACTCAATGAGCAATCGTTTATCCTTATTTCCATATTTAATGTAACATCAGATTCTTGAGCCGCTAGGAAATAATATCTAACTGATACATCGATACGAGAAAAAGATACAGTCATGGACACAATGATTAACACATGTACATAACACTACTAATACTATGAACACACTACTCCGGAATGTATATCGGATAAAGAACAATAACAAACTATCATCAGATATGGATGAACCTACTTTTGTTCCGGGATCACTATTTGTAGGACTTGTAAATTGAGAAAATGAGAGGAAAGCCCCTTTAGTCTTGATTGTTCCGACTTCAATAATCGGGATTAAGTCCTCAAGCTCGTCAGGGCAGTCCTCTTCGATCATCACGGTAAAGTTCAACTAGAACTGCTTTATTGATTGAATCGTCGCTTGCAAGTTTACACTTGTGACTCGCGCAACTTTATTTCAAGAATCTACTTCAACAATAATACTCAGCAAACTGGTCAAACACTACCCATCACCACAGCTCACGGTATGTCTGGATACTATCAACAGAACAGAAACGAAAATAAGATTCTATTGCACTGAAACCCCAGTATAAGTCATAAGCTTTTCTACACAAATTAAACAAATTAAACAAATCCGGGTATGGAACATTATACAGAATAATATGTAGTCTGGAAGGAATCTAATCAGCTACAGCCCCCTCATTCTCTCTGCAGACTCTGTCCCTTTCTTTTCATTGATCAAGTTTCCATTTATCAGTTTTATTGGAGATTGAAATATCCAAATATCATTATATTGATCTAATAAGGGTATTACAGGTTACTCCTAATATATATTGGTCTAATACATAAATCTGATATATAAGTCTAATATATACAGGTAAATCCTAAGTCTTATAGCCATGTTTGTAACTCGTAATGTAGTGTAATTGAAAAGCTATACTCACAGTGACAACAGGCGGGCTATCACTAATGTGAACCTTTAGTCTGGAGCTCAGTCTCTTAAGAGAAGGAAGTCTGGTTCTTCTCACAGGTTTAACTTGGACCTTTAGTACAGCGTTACCTCCAGTACCGGGTGATACGGGCTGTTCTTCATGGGGTGACATTACAGAACACTCTCTGCAGTTTCCTGCACTTGAGTGGGCAACCCCGCGGGAAGAGCAATCTTGGAGGCCTATTGAGATGTTGGTGATAGTTTGGGTATCTCAAAAGCATTGCGAAGAATGTGTGGAAGAATTTGAAACACTACAAGAAGCGACTAAAAATAATCTAACAGTAAAACTTCCGGGACTGATGATAGAAAGGACGGAGTTCAGTTTTAACCTCACGTCACGTCCTAAATATGATAATATCAATTCTATAATATGCGTAGAGAAGCTGTAAAACAATCTAATTTACATAAAATCAGCAATAACAAATTAATAAGAGTGTAACAACGGGAACTGGGCAATCTTGAAGATTATTTAATTTAGTTTTTAAAAAAAGGAAAATGCTTTGCAAAACAATCGTACATAGTGATGATTGAAGTATTGAAAGCATTAGTCAGAATTTATTGCAAGTAAATGAAACATTGGATACAAGTTGGAAATAAACGAAGTTGAACAGATGGCTAATATCTCGAGGCTGGGATGGAAGGGACCTCCTTTTATGTTCAACACCTGTGTAGAATGAATGGTGTTGTGGTTTCTCATTTTGTGAAGAAGCTATATTAGGAGCTAACAGTTTTTTGTTCTCCTCTAATACAGTGTTAAGAGGCGATAAATACGGTTTTAAAGTTCTAAGTTTTTGGTTAAGGAGGTGTGTAAAGTGTTAAGAGGGCGAGGAATCATGGGAGCATATAATTGAATATGATGTCGTTATAATATTGCAAAAGAAGTCCTTCAAAGTAATTTGTATTATTCTGAAGAAGAAAGTTGTATTATTCTAAAGAATATGGCTAATAAATATAAAAAGCAGACATCTGACAATATTTAACTGGAGACCCCGCTGTACAGGTATATTCATAGCGCTATTAGCTTCCTACCAGCCACTTAATGAATTACTGAATGACCGGACCGAATGACTTATAATAGTGAGGGACTGAAATGTTAAGTTTATCCACTATCCAGTTTATCCAGGTTGGTAACAGTGAAATTTGACAGCGGAGCCTTGGACTAGCCCAGTTGTCATCACACTGTCAGTTTTAAGCTTATTAATATGAAAATCGTAAAAGTTCAGATATATAAAGCCCCAAAACAAATGAAGAGGGGGGGGCTACAGTCTGCAGTGTTCTAAAATCGGAAGAAAACGCTCGCGGGCTGTCTTGAACAGAATACCTTTTACATGTCATAATTTATGTGGTGTGTAATATAATTCTGTAATTGTACGCACTTACGGGATTTGAAATAAATTAAAAAAGGTATTCCCATCTTTGGACGGTAGGGTACGAATACGTTAGGGGTTGAACATGTGATTCGTGTGTCAGCAGTCCACCTAACTGCGCAAACTAGTAAAATAAGATGGAGTGAGTGTAGACACACAGAAGCGTAATAGTAATACAGAACACAAAACGACACAAAAGCGAAATAATTAACTATTTTGTAAAGTTGTGCACGCTCTCTCGTAATTTAAATAGAACATATTTACCAGAGGCATTTAGATTTTAGATGTTACTGAAAGTATGATAAAACCGAACATGGGTGCAAAATTAAATGTTTACAATGAAATCAAATCTGTCGATTAGCTCAATCGTAAAGCTATTTATATTAGAATTAGAAACGGACCTAATTATTAAAAGCCAAAAGGTACACTATAAATGTATTAACACGATGATGATGAAGCTACACGTGGTAAATTCTTGAATAGATTACATGAGGTGAAGTTGTGTGAATGTACATTGAACATGGGAAAGTTTTTAGGGATTCAGTTCTCAAAGTTGTATAGTCTAGTCAATGATCTGCAGTCTGCACAGGTCTCCTCCAAGGGCTGAGGGCTCCAATGAGGAGTTAGTTAGGGGTTTTGTCCTCCAAAGATTCAGTCCGTCACGAATCAGGTCTGGTAGAAATTCAGTTTTTCGGGCATTTGGCTTAAGTTTTTACTTTTGATGAGGACAAGTAAACACTAACAGCAACAAAGTAAAAATTAACAAGCAAACGAAAGAAAACACTTTGCACGTCATATTCTGGCCTTTTCTTACTTTGACAGGGGTACTCATTTGGGTTTCTACTCATTTTGCCATCGAAAAAAGGTTCCCTCATAAGACTTCAGAAAATAGAAAATATTTAAAACTAAAAGCCGAGAAATAGAAGATTTAAACAAACGTGATATAGCAATACTGATGAAGATGTGATTACGACCTAAAAGCTTTAAAGCTGTCGCACAATCAACATCCTACTTTTGCTATAGCGTACCTAGAGCTGCGGAGCTATTTTCAATTACACGCTCCGCGTTTTAATCTGATTTCCAGGTATACACGTCCATACACAAATGGTATACATTTCCCAAGAGTATGATCTATCAAACAGCTTAAATGCAGCTCATATTTTGTAAACTATGTAGATATCTGAGTAAACTATGTGGATATCAGTGTAAACTGTAAACAGATACCATTGATTTTATATCTATATCAAACAGCTTAAAGGCTGTGAACTATATTACCGATATTCATAACCAAACTCATTTATTTTCCAAGAGAACTGTACTAACGCAACGTAAAGTGATTCCTCGTGTTTATTAGAGAATACAGAAAGGATTACTCTTAACATATTATTTAAGACAGCTCATATTTTGTTAACTATGTAGATTTCAGTGTAAACTGTAAACAGATACCTCTGATTTTCTATGGCTTTATATTATTAAATTTAAGCCTAATTTGATTTTCGGCTCGTCGTCCAAACAAATGCTGCACAGCTGCCAGCCCAAGTTTAATTTTGAATTGCAATCACACTTCAACCTTCCAAGTTCCAGTCACTCATGAGTTCACTTCCGAGCGGGTGGTAACTTGTTATCGGCATGGTTCAACTTTATCATCAGCCGTTTTCAGCAATATGCCATTTTTAAAAATATCGCCGGCACATAAAATAGCAGGTTCAAATCAAACTAAAAATTGAAATACGATTATGCGAAACAAAACCACCTCAACTTACTAATTAGCACACACAGAACAAAATTAAATGTGAATTACCTAGAAGTAAACCGATACAGTAAAGTCCTAACAGATGAAATTACTACAGATATCGTCTCCACAAACCCTAAAAAGTGCTGAGAGGATGTGTCCGTGTAGGTACTCCCGCGGGCGGAGATTGGCCCTTAAAGATATGTGATAACTGGACAAGCCAACGTTAGGGGATCAGGTTACAGTTACACGGTGTGAAAGACTCTGTACCTACTCTGTCTCTAACCTGGACCTTGGACGTAATTCAATCTTTTTATTGTTCATTTTCTCGGCCATCACATTACACATATGGTTTTGTTAATAAATCAGTTTGGTAACAGCTAAACAAAGACAGAAATACATGGCTGAAAGTAAATTTAAATATCTTAATTTCAGAGCAATCTGCTTAAAATTATAAAATCCAGAAGATTTCCAGACTTGACTGATTCTCTGATTAATCTCCGACCGGTAGTGGCTTATAATCCATGATTCGTAAATAGCTTACATTTTACTTTGTAGAAAAACTTTATAGAAACACTTTGTAAAGAAGCTCCTGTATACATGTCTCGCAAACAACTTCAAAGTAACTAAAAAATATACTGTTACGTGTTAATAGTAGATCCTAAGCTGGTAGTGATCAGTGCGTGATGTAATAATTATCGAATCGTGCATCGATTTAGTAAGAGTTGGAAAAATGCCAAACTGACGTTTTGTTTCTTTGAATTTGCTCCAAACTTAATAAAATTCTCTTTCTGGCCATACGACACGATTATGTAAATACCGCAATACAGATCTTGAACGACACGATCATTATCGAATGTAACACGGAAAGTATTTTTCGGAATACGAATAAGTGCTACCAAGTTTACAGCTTGTGCAGCTGTGTTGGCGCTGCTCTCATCTATTGAGAAAATTGATTATAAATTCAAGAGGAATATCAATAATGGAAAATGTCAGCCAGATTCCTCAGATTTGTCGGGTGTTACTCGTCTAAATTTCTTCGAAGTAGCGAGCGCCGTTTTCTTTTCGAAATGTTAGCCCGAGGCCGGGTTAGTTCATTAATTATGGATAATCACTATCAGAGACTGATGGTTCAGGTTGTGATTGAAAGTGGATCCACTGAGCCACTGAACAGTATATACAGTTACACCTGTTAGTAAAAATAAACTCGTCTAAAAGTAAAAGTGAAACAGACATGGTCACAAAAATTGATCTCATCTTATACAAGTACATAACTTCTTTTATTTTTTGTAAGACACATTGATCCCCTTACGAAGAATATCAATAAAGAAGAAGATAGTATAAAAAGAAAGAAAAAGGAAGGTTCTGTTGTGTGATCGAACATAATTTTGTTTTAGAGTAAGATAATTTCAAAATTCACAGTATTTAGCAAGCAGAATCTAGGGATAGCAACATGATTTTATTTTTATTAATCACTCCACTTAAAATATTAAAGGTTTAATGATGTTTGGTAAATTTTGGCTGGCTAGTGGAAACATGAAGATCTGGTAGGCATTGATCGGGTTCACTGTTACTTAAGAGACAATTCAAATATACTTTAACTCTACGTGAGTCTTGAGGAGCTACGATATCATGTCAGTTATGAATTACAAAGGAAGTTACGTATTTTCCACTTCTCTCGTTCTCTTGATATAGTATACAAGTAATTTTAATAAATAGCATTAATTAAAGTATATCTCCTCATTTAATTTATTTAGCGGTTTGGTCTTTGCTGATGAACATTGCCAGTGGCGTAACGAAGGGCCCAACCGACCCCGCTGTGCGGGAGGGGGCAATCTTAGGGGGGCACCAAAATTACGAAAAACTTAACTACGGTACTAGCAAAACTGCGCGTTTTGCTCTAGAAACACACATTTTTAGAGATTTTACCGGTGTCGGGTTGTATCCTCTAAAATCATCTAATTTGTTCAATTTTAGGGAGGGTCGCCAATTAAAGGGGGGCGCTTTTTCAGCGGGGGGAGGGGGCGCCAGCAAGCAACGTTACGCCACTGCACATTGCACTGCGTGGTCTAGTGCA